CTGGCAGCCGGGGCGGCCGTGAGCAAGCCTGGGTGTTCGTCGGGTGTGTTTCACAAGCCCTTGCTCGCTCCTGCGTTTCAGTTTCACCTATATCTGTAACGTAAATATCGTAACGTTGCACCAAAGCTGTGGTTTTCGAAAGGAAAATTAAGAAGGGCTCACTACAAATACACAGGCTTTGGAACCTGGGTATGTTTGCTATAGCAAAGGGGAGGGGGTTAGAGCAGGTGGGCTCGGGGTGTCAGTTTTTGTTTGGAGTTTGGGTTTTTTCCCACTTAATAAGTGAAGTATTTAATTTTTGGTGGAATAGTGAAGTCGAGGGGGTGTGGGGGTGTGTGTGATTTAGTTAGTTAGTTGGAACAGGCTGGCTTCCATCTCCTGGGCATGTCAACAGCTGTCCTTACATCCTGATGTATTTGTTATTCCTGAAGCACTCTTCTACCTCTTCAGCTTCTGAACCTCCTCGTCCTCTCTGAAGGGGACAGGCTTTTAAGCATCTCCAGGTTTCAGAATACTCTTTTGCAGTACATCTTTAAATATTTTGGGAGCGCACTGCTTCCTGTATTCTTTTGTGCTTGTTCTAAGACTTTTCCTAGCAAAATATATTGATTTCAGGAGAACAAGTATGAGTTTTGGGAGAGGGGGGAACTGCAGGAAAGGCTTTGGAGGACTGTGGACATCTGAATGACCCACGTTCCATTAGCATCCTGACTATACAAAATTAGGCCCCCTTCTCTTCTGCACACACCATCCCATCCCCACCCCACCCCCAAGAGCACCTTCCCAATATTGTAAACCAACTCCAGCTTAAAACACTTACAGAATTTTAGCCAAAAGCTTCCTGGGGTGTGGACTGAGGGTGAAAGTGCCAGCTATCAGCAAACTCTATCATTAGGGCTTGATTTGGCATTTGATTGCATTTGATACATCTTTATGCTTGCACAATATCCACTGGGTGTCCAGGGTGCTGGTTGTGCTGCTGTGCAGCCAGATATCGGGCTTGGAAATGTTATTTTTGGTTCAGATGCTGAGTTGCATAATTTGCTGAAGAATGAGCAGCGGTTGTTGTCTTCCTACGTACAGCTGATTGGGTTCTTTTCGTTAACAAAGAACATGGAAGCTAAATGCCATGAATTACATCTCAGTGGTACAGACTGTCAGTCACTTTAGCTTGCGGTCAGGCCCCCTTAACCATACCGAACGTTTTATCCAAACTGCAATTTTAAATTGACTCAGTTTCCATTGCTGCAGTGCTGCAAAAGTACTCTGAACTTCCATGTTCAGAAAGGTGAAGAGCACTGGGACTGCTGCAGCACAATGGGGTGCTGCACTGGCAGACTCCTGTAAGGGAAGAGGAGCAGAGAGAAAAATGGGTTAGACCCCAGAGTTTGTAGACTGAAAGGTGCTGAATACAACAGATTATTTTGCCTGAAAGAGATTGAGTGATGTGTCCTTACCCTTACCCCTAAATTGTATTTCATAGCTCAAAGAGGTCATTTTATATTTATTTTTAAATATGAAGTTGAGAAACACTGAGTATTAAGGAAGGATGCCAGAGAGGGTCCATGTGAAAAATATTGTTGAGGGTAGTAAAGAAAGGGTTAGTGCTGGCCTTCTGTAGACAGGACAAGCTACATTCAATCTATTTCATGTTAATGAAGTCCGGCTAGGTTTTAAAACATTTACTTGGCAATCATTAAATCTTGCATTAATTTTCTTTACTGCAGTGAATAATTGTTATTGCCTGATTATTTTTTTCACGTAGAAATTCCTCTTGGCAGTTTGTTACCTGTTTCGTTCCTCTTCTGCTCTGCTTTTTTTTCATACACTTGGTCATAATGTAAATCTTCTGTGCTACCTCAATTTTTTCTTATTCTTTCAATTTTTCCCCATACCATACTGTCTTTCTTCTCCACTGTGTTCTTTTTCTTTTAGTGATTTGATCCTATGGTGCCACGCATCCATTTTTGTATCATTGTGTACATGCAACTTCTAAAGTCAGCAGTACATCAGATAATCAAAATATGCAACCTACTAGTGACAGACAATTAAAAAAAAAAAGAAGAACATTAGTCACGATTCAAGAATAACTGTATTCCTTCTAGGAGGTTCAATGCATGTTTGAAAAGCAAATTTATAGTGATGGCTTCATGTTTGGAGCCAGCTTCTGCTGGCTGTTTCTGGGAGACCACCTCAGGCTTGTCACATTGGAAACTCGAGGAGATCATCTCGTGCTGGAAGGCTGTTCCTACCTCTCTTCAGACAGCATTTAGTGTTCCTCTTCCAGTGTCAAGCCTCTGCAGAAGGGAGGATCTTGCTTCGCTGACCACAGCAGTAACTTCATAGCTGCTTATTTCATTCTGGTGATAGAAAGTGCCTGGTGGTTTTTCTTTCGCTTTAAGGAAATTGTTTAGGTATCTTTTTTTCTTTTTGCCTTGTCAGAAAAGTTTGCAGTTAGTCTTTAGCTGATTGCAAAAGGTTCCTCATTAGAATTTTGTGTGTGTGTGTGTAAAAAAAAAAAAAAAACCAAAAAACCCATCAAAACAACACCAAACAAAAACCTTCTAGTTTTCTGGTTGTCTTGACATCTTTTAAGTTACTCCTTATGTGTCACATATAATAGTTTACCTAAAGAAATGGTTAATAATCTGAGTTTTCTTCAGATATCTCAATCAATACTAATGGGTTTGGAGGATGTATGGATTGTTTTGGGGATTATGGGTTTCTTTAGCTTGCTTTATACGTAGACAGGTGAGAAGTCTAAAATTACTGACATGTAAGGAGGGAACATTTTCTCTATTCTCTGTATCTCTCCTTTAACTGTTGCTTTCCCCACCTCTTTTGTGGCTTAGGTTGTGGCTGGGATGATAAAAATAGCTTCAAATACAAGATTAAAATCTCAGGAGAGAGCATCAGGAGTGATGTAACATTTAGCACCTGGACCATCACTTAAAATCCTCTAAGATCAGCTTGCATGGTTGCCAGTGTTTCCTCTGTGTACATATGGGCTATACTGACAGATAAACTGAACTTTTATCCATTTTGGGTAATTTATTATAGGCTTTATCTGTCAAGAAGCATATTTTGACAGCAGACATTTCCTGAAGGTCCAGATCTGTGCATCCATTGCAGTAGAGTGTATATGTAATGTCACTTTTTCTGATTGATTTTAGTATTGCAGTGTGGAAAGTTTCACAAGACAATTGCATTAATGCTGTTAAGTATTTGCTTGGCTTTGCAGGAAGCCTCTGACTTTTGTTGCCTAATTAGTCATCTGATATCCTCCCCTACCCTCCTTGTTTTGAAACTTCCTCATTTTGAAAATTAAATGGCCTCTTGTGTTTGACCTTTTGTTCCAGTTGTGCAAAGGCTATAACTGCACGGCAGTAAAATCTAGGAAGCACAGAGCTGCTGGTCCTATACCTTCACCTTGCGTGTAGAAAAACCAAAAATCATCTTGTGCTTTCTCCCACCTACTGGAAACAATACAGAAAGAAAACACGTGATAATTCACAGAAGCCAATCCCACTTTAAAATTCCTGTTTCCAGTTGTAACAAATTATGCCAGTGTTTAAAGTCCGTGGCATTCTGTAAGGCATTGTGTTTTCTAGATTAATGCATTAAAAACAGATAATGTGATTAGCTCAAGGAGAACATGGACATTAGTTAGCTTGTTTGTCCCGGATACGGAGCTGCTAGAGATCTTGTCTCAGTTTTTACTGGAGCCAGAATGCATTATAAGGACACGCTAGTAAAGTAATCTAATTAGTACAGCCAAATAAATATTGGAAATTGAGGGCAGGGATGGGGGTAAGTGGTGGAAGGTTCCCTACATATTTTTGTTTCTGTTCTGTCTCCCAAACATTTGTGCTTCAGGAGCCTTTGTAGGGACTCCCAGAATAGCATGTGTGCCTTTCGTTTTTCCTAGAGGGACGTACTGTGCTGTTAGGAGCTTACTGATCTGCTCAGATAGTTCAGGGACCAGAACTGGTCTGCTCTCAACTGGCTTGAAGCACAAGTGCAGCTGGTAGGCATTTGCTTGTATTTCACTGCGTAAAACATGCAATTATAATTGTGGCATGCGTATGTTTATGTATGTATATGCATGCTTTATGTAATCGATGGGAAAACACCCTTGCGTTCACTTTAAGTATGCCTAAATATAGTTCTCAAACTTTCATTTGTAACTAGACGTGCTTACAGGAATGAAGGTGACTAGTTTTTAGTTATATTCCTGAAATGCACCCACATAATATTTAGCACGAGTTCAGCAGCGCTTTTCCACACAAAGTCATGCCGTATAGCTCATTCCTCTGGCTGAGTAATTTGCCCAAAGTTCAGTGTGCTTTCTCTGCCCCAGCTACAAAGTGAAGCTTAGCAGTAAGTGTAATTATGAATGATGCTATAAAACGAGATTTTGAATTGAATGGATGGAACAAACAGGTCCATGCTGAGATTTAAAGTTTCTGAACTTGTCTAAAGAATATGCTTTTGAAGTGCTCTCTACTGAATCACCCTGAGTAAAAATGGGTTTGTGTATTTATCATAAACTTGTGCTTGCCTTGGACTACATTAGGCAAGTTGTCTAAAGGTCAGTCAGACAATACAGGGATGTTGCTGTTTGTCCCCTACCTCTTGTATCCTCTGCACCCTTTCCCCAGTCCCAAGAATTTCTTTTCCTTTATTATCAAGTCATCATGGATTGAATTAGCTGACTAATCCTAAATGTTTAATTCAAAACTAAGTCTGCTAGAATAATAAAGTGTTTTAACAAAAAAGCTAAATAGTAATGTTTCACTGTCTTTACAGTATGGAGAAGAGTGCAGGAGTAAAACATACCCTCCTTCAGGACCAACGTAAGTATTCTTACTCAACTAGTCTACAAATTACAGAAAAGTAGTGCTTCAAGTCTGAACAGTTTTTTTTTTTTTTAACTTGCTCCTGTTGCAGATCAAGAAAATGTTAGTTACAGGTGGGAAGCTCCTATTTTGTCAAATGTATTTTCAAAGCCTTCTTTAAATTTGAACTCTGATGCTTATCTTTCAGATTCAAAGGGAATGTACCCACATATGTCATAAATCTTGATTTACCTGCCAGCAAAAGATGGGATGACTTGATGCACGACAAAAAGACTGAGGTATGAAGTGCAGAGCTTGCTTTGAAGCTCAGCAGGTATAAAACTAGCGTGTGGCCTTTCATTTTGAAATAAGGTTTGGAAAGGAATAACTGTGCTAAAATTCTCTGAAAGGGATAATATTTCTTGTTGACTATTTTAGTATTATTCTAGACTAAAATAACTGCTTGAGAAAACCTTTTTTTCTGTTCAACTCTTGAGCTAGCAGCATCAAGTATAGGGGCACTGATGATTGGGATAGAAAACAGTGCGGCATAAAGCAGGCTTTCATTAATCTTTAGTCATGAAGTAATACATAGAGAAGGGGGGGGAGTACACCCAAGGAACAGCCTCAGTAAACTGAAGTGAAACTGAGGCAGCATCCCTTCTCCTCTGCGCATCCCTGCTTTTTTCAAAATGCTGCATGAGGTGATGAAATGGCGAGGGGGAAATGAAGAACTTCCTGCCCTTTTCAAGGATGCTGGTTGCAGCACTGGGGTTTACACGGGAGAAGTAATTTTAAAAATACTTGAGCCTATTTCAAACTAGTTAGAACAGCTGTTCTTCTGAAGGTTGCTGAAAACTCAGTTCAGTAATGCTTAATATCTCAAAAAAGGCCAGGGATTTTTGCCGTATCCCTGCTGACTTTGACCTTTCAACTCTGAAAGCCAGACAAATTCTACTTAACACCATAATATTTATTTTAAAAGTCTCATTTAAGCCAGCGGGCATTGGAAGCTTCAGGTTGCACCTTAAATTCTGAAAGGTTTTATCTCTCATGTACTTTGGAGTTAGATCACATGGAGTGCACCTCTATTTGTGACCATTCACGTGTGGGAAATGGAAAGCATGTACTTTTGTAAGAAATTTATTGAATCTTTTTAGCTTCAGGAACATCAGTGCTTAAGCAAAGAGCTTTTAATTAACGTTTTTAAAGATAGAAGAGTGCAGAGTATTAAAATGTGATCAAAGGAGCAAAAGACAAGGATGGCTTTTTCCTGTAATTAATTTTCTCTGGTAGAGGGATATGTCAGAGCTAATCTAGAAAGTTATTTGAATAAAGCTTGAGGAGTAACTCTAATGGGGAGTTGGGGGTGGTGTGGCAAGAACACCACATTCAGTACTTTCCTTAAATACATATTTTTTCAACAAAATGTTTTTTTGAAAAGTGTGTGAAGGAGTTCTGTTAGTATTCTAGCAATTCTTATGCTCAAGATCTTCTATTCACTAAAAGCCCTTGTTCTTTTTAGCTGAAGACTGTGGTCCAGAATATTAAAGACATAGCAAATACCTTCTTCCCCAGTGGCAAAGTTGTTGACATAGTGGATAACAAAATAGTAAGTATTTGCAGCTTAATTATTTTATTACTGTATGCTCTGATTACCGAAATTAGAATGCTACTAAACTTGGCAATGAAGAATTTACAAGTGATAATTCTTCCGCTTCCAGAACAAAAATGCTGTTTTGAAGAGTTAGTCTGAAATTTTGCCTTCTGGGTGAAATTTTGCCTTCTTGCCTACTCTGAATTACTCTGAAACTGTCAAACCAAAAATGCATGTATCTCTTCTGTTTTTTTTTTTTCTAAGATCTTTTCAAGTTTGGATTAGTCACGCTAAGCTTACATGCTACTGACTTAGTCATTGTAGCAAAACACTTCACTGAAATTCTCTTTGCCATGTTCAACTCCTTTTAAACAGTAGAATAAAATCAGGTTTTGAGGACTGTAATAAGTGTCTGATAACGGTGGCAACTTTAACCTGGCCTCATGTTAAAAAATAATTTGATTCTGATTAAAATAGGCTTTGGCGTAGAATCAGGACAGGGGAAAACAGTGTAGCAGTAGAGAGAGCATAAGGTCAAACCTGTCCTCTATCTTTATTTACAGCAGCCTTAGGTGATGCTGGCCGCACTTTGTTCGTATCCCTGTGTGTCTGAGTGGGGTTGACATAAAGGGAGCACATACAGGTAGTCATGCCAGCGTGTGAAAGTTAGGGATTCCCTTCAACGCTGGCGTCAAGCTCAGTTCCAGTTGAGCTTTTACAATGTGAGAGTCCTACTTCACTCTGTTCTGTCTATTGCTGCTAACAATAATTAAGGTACTGTGCTAATCTCCATTGCTCACATGTCAGTATTTTGATAAGTAATAGTTTTTACTTTCCCTAAGTATGTACTTGTCTTCCAAGAACTCTACAAACATCCTCAAGTTCTACAGGCTGCAGAGGAATTAAATACTCAGTTTAATAGTTGTGAGAAGGATGTAGCTATTGGGTAGAGGTTTGTTTTAAGTAACAAAATAGCTGTAATTTACACAAGTAACGTACAAAACTTTTCCTTTCAGGCTCATCTGACTGCCACACTTCCTTATCCTTTCAATGAAGAACTCCAAGGGATTGCAAATTCATCTGGGATTCCTTTGGGTAATAGTTTCCAACACTTTACTGACGCAGTGGAAAAATAGGAATCCAGACTCATTAAAAATTAGTATGTGTACCAATCTGCAGTATAGTAGTAGTCACCTGTGACTTTAACAAATAAATTATTAATTAAGTAAATAAAGCAATAAATTGCATCTCACACCACCAAATGAAAGCAGTATTTTAGAGAAGAATGGCAATAAATCACATAAGCCTTTCCTCAGGCTGGGACTTGTCGGTAGAGCTGTAGCTTCTCGCTCCTGACTTTTAGGAACTGGAGTGAATCTCAGCTCCTGTGCACCAAAATTTGGGGTAATCCTTGATTCTCATTGGTTTCCCATTCAGCTGTGTGTCTACTGTTCACATACCAAGAAGGCAAGGCTCAGTTTCATGCTGTGCTTTCTTTCCCTTGTGATCCTTGCCACATCCTCCTGCTTTCATTCCACACCTCCTGCCAAAGAGTGCAGTTCCAGGTGAGAAGAAGACACTGAATTCTTCCAGAATTGAGACAGAGAAGGTCCATAGACCTGCTTCCACTGCTTTCCTCATACAGGAGCAGTACACCTGGTGCTAGTCAGCAGCTCTTATATGGGCATAGTGCTACAGAGAGTGGCTTTCTTCTTTCAAGTGAATTTTATAGCTTGTTTTGAAGTTTCCAGAGGAGGAAGTAGCAATGAATGTCAGCTTTCTGTATGGTAAGGCAGAAGGCCAAGGGATTCTGATCCTTTTGTTTGCCTTCCAGGAAACTCTTGATTTTG